TATATATATAGATATGAAAATTCGGATAAGTCTGAGAGCGTGAGTGATATTGTGTTTAGGGTGCTGCATTGACAAAAAATTCAAAGAAAAATAATAACTATAAAAAAATCAAAGAAATATAAGAAAAGCTATTGATGAAAACTATTGCATAAAAATGATCAAAAATTATAAAAATAAAAAATTAAAAAAAAATTGTTCATATGTTTGTGTCTTAAATAAGTATAAACAAATTGCTTTAAATGTATTTCAAGCAAAAAAACAAAGCCATAAAAGCAAAAAAAGAAAATATAAAAAAAATCGATTCGATACGGATGTTAAGCCCAAATATATATATTTGTTAAACTATTGAAATATATATCGATATGAATACACCAACAATAACAAAATAAATGAAAAAAACATATTTTAAAATATAAAAACTATTATCAAAACGCAATTTAATTGCTAAGCAATTCAAAAATCTCTCAAAAATAAATTTAAAAAAGATTTTTAATAAAAAAAAGGATTTTTTTTTATTTTTACTTAAGTCAAGAGTATGTTAAATCAAATCTTATGTAGCTACTCATCTAACTTGGAACCTACTTCCAATTGATTTGCTTCAATTTTTAGTTTATGTATTTCACACAGAAAAAATAACAACAATATATATATCGAAATTCAAAAGTCCATTGCATCGCCGTCCCAGCTACATTATAAAAATAAAATATATATATAGATACAAAAATTTTTAAAGTTCGATCCAAAATGATATTTTAGAAAGTTTGGCTTTTGGCAGTGGTTTCAAATTATTTTTGCAACTTGGAGCAGAGCAAAGTTAACTCAAGAATAAATTAATTATATATATTATATATAATATGTATTTAGAACAATATACAAGCATGTGTTTTCTAGTAACCAAAATTCAGTCAGGTCAATAGTACAAATAGTCACAAACAAAAGAAACAAATTGCAAGCAAAGAAAGCAACATTTTTGTATGCTGTTTACAAAAATTGCCAGGCATAATTAAAACATTAATAAAAAAAATTTAATTAAAATAAATACAGTTTTCATATATATCTCTGTATATATATGAATTCAAATGCTGTTTGTTTCTATGTAGATTTTTACGATATCTAATTGTGCTTAAAATATTTATATGCAACTAAACTATATATTATATATATATTTACTATATGCTGTTTGTATCCAATCTATCGTAATGGCTGACATTGAAGAAAATTAAGACATTATCTAAGTATATCAACTATAATTTTAGGTACTTTCCTTAGTTGTTTTGTTTTCTAGAAGTATTGATTGTTTTCGGGTGTCTGAAATTTGAAAGCTATGTTAAAAAGAAAAACGAGTAAATATAAAAATAAATAACAATATACCAACGCTCAACAATATTGTTTTAAATTTTGTTGGAAGAAACAGTAAGCTTTGGATATCTAGTTGGCCTTTGTCGCCTCAATTTCAGTATCACATTCACAAATACAAAAGCAATATTCAGTAAGCAAAATATTGTCGCTTAATTTGTCGACGTTTCCAAATTTCACTCTGTGCATATCGTGTATATTTTATATTAAAAAAAAATAGTAACACGTGTCCATTAAATAATATAAAATCATGAGCGAACCAGATGATAAGGTAACTACAATCTATAACCGTTCAACTCATCAATCTCCTCATCCGTGTTGTCTGTAAAATTCACTTTCAAATTTCTGTTTCAAATTACTTATCGATAATTAATAATCAAGCGAATTTGATGGCTACATTTCTGAGTAACCCAGTAAATAAAAAAATAAAAAATTTAAAGCAACATTTTAATTTAGTTATCATGTCTCTGTTGCTTAAAACAAACATTATTCAAACACATTTTGTTTCTTTTATTTTTGTTTTATCGATGAATCGTGAGCAACCCAATTCGCCGACTACCATTTTGAGTAAGTTCATACAGTAGAACGAGTTCCGCTGTGAACTATAGCACCAGGTATCATCGCGGAGCACACACGAAATCAATTTTTTACAACGAAAACGACAGTGTGAACTGATTATATTGTCCATTGTATTATTTAAAGTTCTTTGTGTTGTACACGCGATATATATAAGGGTTTCATTTAACCCGACGAGAATATTATAACAAGTGTTTAAAATAAAGCCGCAAAAGTGGATACCGATAACGTAAAAATTGAGGATTTGATGGACTCTGATCCTGACATTGAGTTCATTGAAAAGGATAGTGGGATGTCTTCGTTAGGTGGTAGCAAGGACGAGACGCCAGAGCGCCGGACAGTAGCCATTGTAAGTTAAACCGCGTGCATCTGAAAGCCCCTACCGTTTTGGTTTTCGTGCTCACGTAATTGGAGAACTAGTCCATCTGCTTATCAAGCGTACACATACACACACACACACATACATAGTTATGTATGTGCCTTTGTATTTATTGATTATTACAACGTGCATCAATCGCATTACTTTCTTTACAGCCAGCAAATGAAGAGCCGCAAACAGATGGTGAGAATTACGATGATGTAAGTTTTGCTCTCAATTTATGTTTGTAAACATGCAGAATATATGTATGTATATACAGAAGTGAACATTCTAACCTCACACTTGTGTTGTTTAGGAACCAGATGAGACGTTCGGTGAACGTATAATGGGACTATCAGAAATGTTCCCGGAATCAGTGCGCAATGCGGTGAGCAGTGTAGCCACCACTGCGGCGAAGAGTTTCCGTAGTCTCTATCAGTTCTCGTGCAATGCATCGTGGATATTCTTTACGAGTTCCGTCATACTGTTTGCGCCCGTCATTTTTGAGACCGAGCGCGCCCAAATGGAGGAGCTGCACAAGTCGCAGCAGAAGCAAGTGCTGCTTGGTCCAGGCAGTGCCATGGCCGCTGGAGCATCGCCCAGTTTACCATTAATTCGTTAATTATCAGCTTTGATATACATATATACATCTATGCATAATACGTTAGTTCGATTTGCCAGCGGGGACGAAACAATAACAACAGAAGCAACCACATTTAAAACGGGATATTCCCTCACGCTCTAGAGTATAAGTCGGAATCAATCGAGCCAGTTGATCCAGTTCACAAGTCCCTGCCAGTGAATGTTTATTAACACTTAAACCAAACACAACACACACACATACTAATGGCAATCAATGAAAGCCAATCAAAGTCAACGCCTTAAGCATTTACCATCTTAATATCCACTCATTCGAGCAGTTGGCATAGAACTTTCAACTAGGGTTTAGTCCAAGTATTTGTAGTTGGCCTACACATCAAGAAGAAAAGAACAATTAATGTTTGTAAAATTTAATAAAAATTCGTTTATTAAGAGTTAATTAAGGACCACCGAGATATTCTCGTGGTATGGGGTGCTCCATAAAATAACGACGAAATTCCCCAGCGTATTTATTACGCAGCGCCCGCTCACCGTATTCATTGAAACGCTGAGCGAGAAATACATAGACATCCAGGACTTTAGCATGGGCCGACAGCTTCTTAAAGGACTGTGCGGAACGCTCCAATATATCCAAGGATTTCAACAGCTGTGCTTTGCGAGCATTCGCATCCTTAATGGCCAGCAGGCAACGCACGAACACAAAGTCCGCCTTGGCCCGCTCGTAGAGTCCCCCGTTTATGTGTATATCGTCCATGCTGCGCTTGATGGCCTGGTACGCCTTTTGCGGCATGCCCAGCATTAGGAGTACCTGTGCCAGCAACATATCCACAGTGGCCAACTCGTAGTCCATCTGCGACTCGGACATATCCTCGGCCACACGCAGCAGCAGCATAACTGCCTCGCTGGAGAAATTGCCCTCGGCTAGGCTGCAGTAGGCGAGCAGGACTTGGACACGCATGCGCAACAGAAACGGCAGCTCCGACTTGGCTGCCAGCTTGTCCAGCAGCCGGCGTGCATTGAAAAATTCACGCTTAGCCACATAGATGGCGGCGCGCTGTTGCATCGCAGCCGATGGATCGAGTAGATGCAGTTGATCACATGCTTTAAGGGCGTCGTGCCAACGACAGCGATAAATGCCCGACTGTATGGTCACATGACACTGGCTAATCATCCAGCACTCAGCGTTGGGCATGCGAGGCAACTGTTCGCGTGCCCGGTGAAGCAATACGCGAGCGAGACGCAGTTCGCCCTGCAAATGCAGCCACATGGCATAGCTGGCCAGAGCGCTGCCTATGCCGGCCGATCCGCTGCAATTGAAACGATCCCGTACGGACAACAGCAGCTGGGCATACAAAGCCGACAACTCGTGCCGTCCGTAGGCACACCAAACAGCGCTCCTCAAGGCCAAGGCTTCAGAGGCATGATTGGAAAGATTATTCCGATTGGTTAGCTGATCACTATGTTGCAGCAGGTCGAAGAGGCGCAACGGCTGATAGCCCGCCACGGTGCCCAGTTTCACAGCAAAGTGGAGCGCAAGCGTATAATTCTGTAGAAGATTGCCATCCGCATCACTGATGTCAGCCACGCTGCGTTGCACATACGAGAGGGGCAGCTCGTCGCGAAGTAGGCAGTGCCAGGTATTGGCCAAATTCAAGCTCCTCTTGTCGCCGTGCTCTTGGGCGAGCATGATGCTCTCTCTGAGTGCTGCCAGTGCCTCCTCCCGATGTCCAAAGGTCGCATGCAGCACGGCCAGATTGATGCAAAAATATTGATAGCCCTTCTCCTGGCTCATCAGCCGCACAGGCGACCGATCCAAGGCTCGATGCAGAGCCGACAATGCATTATAGTAATCACGTATGCGCAGCTGATTCATATATCCCAGAAAATAGGAAGTCGTATTCAAGGGAAGATCCTCAATGATCTGCTGAACCTTCAGCTGCAGCTCTTTGGGGGACAAAGCGGAGCTCTCATCATTGTCCAATAGTTCCGACTGCTTGTTAATAAAGAATTTCGCCTGCTTCGGCGCCCATCTACTCAGCGACTGACCAACCACTCCCTGTTCCTGCTTCGGCTCAGCCGTGTCCTTGTTAATCTCCTCCTCCGGCGCTGACGGTGGTGGTGTCTGCGCTCTGTGCAGCACGCCACCAACAATCAATTTCCGTGCTCCCGACGATAGGGCTCGTATACCACGCTCATAGTAGAGACATATATTCCGATACATGCACATCATCTCGGCGAAAGAGAAGCGTTCAAGCACAACGGCCACTCGTCGGACGTAAACTCCAACCATGCTGAACTGGCTAACGCCGTAATCTTCATTCAGCAGTGTGTCGATGTTTTGCATTTCAGCAAAGTCGAACAATGCCTCAATGCTGGCCGAGCCACAGAACTCGGACATAGCCTTCTCGAAGGACTCCAGCATAAGTGCGTCCAGCTTAAATGGCTTGCTCGTAATCAAATTGTGCAGCTCATTGTACGTCATGTCTGCCTCTTGGATTAGCTTGAACATGAGCATACAAAACATGCGTCGCCTCTGTGGTCGCATCGTAATTCCCGAATCCATTGAATTCTTCTTTTCCTACAAAAATGTTGTTGTATATAAGTATGTATATCAATTGAGAGAGCTGCAAATTCACGTACCTTCACATATTGCTTGAGTAGTATCAGTACGGCTATCTTGTGAGGTGTGGGCGTCTCTATGCGCGGCGGCACCAGCTTGGAGCTGGGATCCAATGTATCCAGCTCCTCGAACAAATTCATCTCATCTGAATTTTTATTTTGCCGGCACAAACACAAACTATTCACACACACACACACGAATATACTCAGCTACAGCCAACTTCACATAGTATGGTCTTAAACATATGGCAGCTCAGTTTGGCGGGCTATTTAAAAGTTTGATTAACAACGAATATTGCAATACACAGAAGCCGCCAACTTCACGTGACAGAGACAACAGAGTGCTGCCAACTTGTTTAACGCTTGTGAGAACTAACGTTGGCGGATATTTGAAAACTTCTATAAATAATAGTCGAATAAGAGCATAGCAGACTGCGCACGGTTATCTAGCACCGAAAGAGCCGTAAGTCTGGCTTCATTGCTCATTACATTTCATTGCACAACACAAATACAGTCCTTTTCTTAACACGTATAACATATAAACTGTGTAAGCTGATAGGTTCAAAGTCTATCAGCTCACAATCGCTGTTTGCCTAATAAATATATAAATATTCGTATGCGGAAAGCCAATATACAAAGTTCGTCAATCTTCTACCCATTTATTTTTAGCGAAGCTAATTAATTCTAGTCAATGAATTGGAATAACAGTACGTGGTGTGCACATGTAAATTTCGCAAAATGTATGAACGCAATGGCGAACTTTAGATGAGGAATGGGAAAATGGCACGGCGACCCCTTGGATAATCCTTGAATTCCTTCTTGTAATTGCGATGCTTGGCCAGAGCCCAAACAGTCATCTGGAATGCGCCAGCGAATGCAAACAGATAGGCGGGCAAGCAAGAGGTCATAGCCGAGAAGCAGACCCAGGCGCCAATCTCGTATGTATAATTAGGGCAAGAGACCAGGCTGCAAGAGAACATTCAATTGAATAATAAGATTTACAATGAAGTCGACAGAGCGAGAGATCGGGACTTACTTGAATAGCTTTGTCAATGGATTGCCGTCGGCCACAGGAATCTTGCGCACCTTGGTGCCCGGCGGACGCAAATTACGTAAAGCAATGTGTATCGAAAAGTTGCCCAATTCGCAGAGCTAAAAATCAAAAATCCTTTAGAATGTTTACATAAGATAATATTTATAAAACACTCACAGCGAAGGCAGCCAGTGCAGCATAGACGGTGCACATGCAGGGGGATGTGTAGAGTGGATGATTCACATGGTAAGAGACATACGCTGTGAAGCCCCAATAGTAGCTGCAATTCTTGAACAGATTACGCAGCGGCATCGTATTATGAGAGAAACGATGCACGAAGATCGTCTCCAGCAAACGCTTCACATAGTGAACGGTATAACAGCCAGCGGCGATACTATGAATGATAAATATATAATATTATTAATAAATCAAAAAAGGGAAATTGGGAATTTCTCTGATTCAGATTTTTAAACTAAATTTCATTATAATTTATGAAAATTTTCTTTATATGATCGCATATATAAGGTTACGAGGTAGCTATTAGTCGTGTCCAAACGCCATGTTTTCATCAACACTTCATATACCCCGTTCAGAGTGCGTTCAGAGTATATACAAATCGTGTTGAAAGCGTGTTAATGATTATGCAGCCAACAACAGGTAAAAGCTAGCTCAGCGCTGATCACAAATTATTTGCATAAGCTCACAAAATCGACCGTTGGGTCAAGCGGGTCGATACTATTATCACTGTGTGCGTATGTGAATCTGTGTGTGTGTTACTCTAGCGAAAGTCACACATACCCACACACACGCAGAGAAAGAGAGAGAGTGAATGATATCTATAGCTAATAGCTACTTACTGAGTGGTCAACGAAATGGGATTCCCAGCTGCCTTGCCGTAAATGAATTCCGGACGAAAATAGAAAATTAGGTAAACAATCAAAGGACCTGCATACTCGGCCAGGAACACGGTCTTCCAGCCAATTTGTGGTCCCAAATCCTTAATGTAGACCTTGTCCCCATCGCTGAGGTTAAGTGCTCCAACGGTATCAGTATCCTTCAAGCTTTTGCCACGCGGCTCCAGGCGTCTTAAATGAAAACATTACAGTTTTTGGGAATTTATGCATGCTTGTTTGCATGTGTGTGTGCGTTGGTGCACTTACAGCGATATGCGGTCGGCATGCGGCGTTTGCTTTAAACTTTTGTGAATCACGACGCGTAGCTCGCTTATCGCGACCGAGGCAGAGGACACATTTACCTTGCCATAGGCTTTGCTAGTTTTGGCATTTAGTACTTCCAGTTCCACCATTTTTCGTGACTGTCACTATTTTCCGTCTAGCTAGTCTTTATTTAGAGTGTTGCTGAATAATGAAAGGTTAGCAATCAGAGAGAGATTATGTTACTATGCTGTATAACTCAAATGGCACTGTCAAAGTCAAATTTGTCAATATGTGTGACATCACAAAAGTGCTTCTCATGTCGAATTTTCTCACTGATATTGTAAAACTCAATTGGCAATGTTACCAAGCTTGATGTGCCAAAAATTGTATGCTCAGTTACCGTTGTTAACCAAGTCAAATCGTATGACGTTTTTATGTTTGAAACTCCATTTGAAAACATTATAGCATTACCAAAATATACCCCTAGTTAACATTGCTTACAAAGTCATTTTTTCTATCGTTGGTCTACAGGAATTGTTACTAAGCCAGTCGACTCAGCACGTAAAGCAGGTCTCGTCTTGAATTTGTTACAAAAAAAAAATTTTAATTGTGTGGTGAGTGTCTAGATTTTAAAATACACAAACAAAAAATTAATCCCGTAGTAAGCCTTGAAAACTGAAATTGTGTATAAACATTCGTGCGGCGTAACCTTTTTTAACTCATTCATTTTACGTTTGACTTCGAAAGTGAACACTTGGAGCTAAAAGAAATTGTTAAAATTTAGCAAACAAGCTAACAATATAAGAAAGAAAAAAAACGCGCAGCATTAATCAAACGGTATAGTGAAATTCAGTAAATAAAAATATTAGGCAAACGAAACTTAAAGTAAACGGTTTGAGGGGTGAGTAAAAAATTCAATATAAAATAAAATTTAAATTGTGTTTAACTCAACGGTCTGGCAACCTTAAAGTGTGGTAGATATAAGTGTGGTTAAATTAGAGGACAATCGAGTAGAGCTGGAGAACCATCGATAGAGACGGTACTCGATGGTTTTACCAACGATGGTTCAAACCATCGATATTATCGATGGTTCCATCGAAAATTTTTTTATATATTAAAATCAAAAATGTTTATTATTTAAGCGGTCAAAATGGGACCAAACTTCCGAAACGCATTTTTTTCGTTTGCGATCGATGGGAGCAGCGGCGTTAGGTGGACTTGAAGTTGTTGAAGGCGTAGGGGCAACAACATCTTTTTCTAAGAAATTACAGAATACATTACATTACATTACTGGACGTAGCGACAAATTTGTCCATATTAAATGAGGAAATGCCAGTTGATAGATTGATATGGTTCGCTACAGTGTTGAATTGCAATAGTTATTTTGTAAATCTAAAAACAAATAAAATAAGAAGACAAGATTTCTGTCTTACGCGTGCACACTTTCCACTCAAATTAAATTGTCGATATATTGACCATCGAGAAATTTCCATCGATGTATCGATCAAATAAAGTTCCATCGATTATATCGATAGTTCCATCGATGGTTCTCCAGCTCTACAATCGAGAGAGTGAGATATACATATAGCACGTATAGATACTGCAGTTGTGCATTACGAATCGAACGAATTGTTTTAGGAATGTTCGGTGTAATTTTACATACGACTTTCAGTGTATTGGCGCTACAATTTGCATAAATTGATTAAAAACTGCAAACAATGTTATTTTAGCATTAGGGCAAGCATAATTTTAAGACTTGCAAGTTCTTGTAATTTGTGCGTGAGCAGGATAGCTCTATTAACCTTACAGTTTCCCCATTCAAGTATACAAAAGTTCCCCTGCTGTTGCCAAGTCTATATAAAGTGAGGCACATTTGAAATCGTTTGAAGTAATCAAAAAGTGAAGCAAGTGAGCAGAAGGAATAGTCGCAGCTGTGAATAAACTGAAATAAAAAAGTTAATTTTTAGTCAACAATTAAATATCTAAAAGCTAAGAATCAGTGATTGAAAAAGTGAGTTTTGTAGAGTTATGGTATATTATTTTGTATATTTTAAAAATCGGCTTGTATAAAATGTAGAAGGTCGATGTTCGATACGCCATTTTTTTTTTCTTTCGTCGTATTTTTGGTTACGTGTTTATTTGGAATTAAGCTATTTTTTCCAATTTGTTGTGAAATTAGCTTAATGGTGTCATAGAAAATTCAAGAAGACATATACTAAAACATACATATACATATGCGTATATATATAATTATATATGCGTGTGTATGTATATAGACATAAGTTACTGCAAATGTATGTGTATTATTTGCACGCACTTATCTAATGCATACGTATTTATATATATATACAGAAGGGAAAAAATAAGTGCGCAGTTAGAAAGTTACACTGCGTGCTAATTTTTGATTTTATTAAAAACAAAGTCTGCGTTGCAAAACTTCAGACACAAGCAACCCTGTATGCAAATATATTTGTATGAGTATATATGTATATGTTAGTATATAAGAAGTCAATGGCAGAGCAATGGCCGTCAACAAAGGTTTTTTTCTTTGTTTAAGACTTTGACAAGGGAGGAAATAGGAAGAGTCCAAAGTGAGAAGAGACGTAGATAATAAGTATACATACAAATATTCACTTTGTATTTGTGTGCGTATGGGTCAAGCACAAAGCAATCGGGGACATACTCGAATTTTCTACAGCTCTGTTAGTCATCGTGAAAGTTATTGTTTCATAGCACTGAGTCGAGGTCTGTCAAGACAAGTTTTTTTTTTCTAACTTTTTATTTTATTTTATATTTTTATTTTCAGAATTACCAAAATGCAGATCTTCGTTAAAACTTTGACGGGAAAGACCATCACCTTGGAGGTTGAGCCTTCCGATACCATTGAGAACGTCAAGGCCAAGATTCAAGATAAGGAGGGAATTCCACCAGATCAGCAGCGTCTGATCTTCGCCGGCAAGCAACTGGAAGATGGCCGCACCTTGTCTGACTACAATATCCAGAAGGAGTCGACCCTTCATCTGGTCCTCCGTCTGCGTGGTGGTATGCAAATCTTCGTGAAGACCCTGACTGGCAAGACCATCACTCT